GAAAAGCTATGGGAAAGAAGCATTGGCAAGCACCACCTCACAATGGGAGGAGAGAAAACAAGTGGGGGCAGATGGCAATAGATGGAAGAAAAACTAGCTATTTTGGGATGTTGGAGCGCGCATTAAGCCTCAACCCTCGCGTATCTCATTCTTTGATTGAACGTGCATTCGGCAAAGTAGAGGCTGTGGTTCGACCCATGATGCCCTCAAAATCACTGTTTGGCACGTGTCGTCTACGTCACTGTACAATTGCACATCGCAGCCCACCAGTGACGGTGGTGGTGTCACTTGGCTTAAAAACTGGCATTCATATCTGCACTGCACCTGTAAACGTCAGCAGTGGTGGTGGCGTTATGCGTGAGCGAGTAAGCAGGGTCCACATAGCCCACCGTTCCCAGCACTCGCGTGAAGCCCGTTGCCGTGCCCTCCCCCACGTGCACAAGCCCAAAGTCTGCCACCTTCGCCTGAGAAGGACGGGCACGGGAGGCAAGACGAGAGGCGGAGGAGGATTAGGGAAACATGGTTTCATATGATTCAGACAGGATGAGATTATCTGATTGGGAGTGTGGTTTGATATGATTCGAAGATGGTTGTAACACCTGACCACCGCGCCTGCACTCCCTTCGATACGGGGTCTTTTAAAGCCCAAAACGAATGGAAGAACCACGAACGCCTTATCATGCGGAGAAAGTGTCTTGCCAAAATCTCATCACTGCACCGCACCGCACCTGCATGTGGGCGTCAAGGAGAATGTTGGCTGGCTTGATGTCGCGGTGCACGAGGCCAAAGCTGTGGAGATACTCCAACCCACGTGCCACCCCTAGTAGGATGCCCATCCGCTGCTGCAGAGTCAAACTCGTGGGCGCATCTGGAGAATGGCAGAGCAGAGGCAAGCATTGGAGGGTAGCAGCATTGGAGGGAAGCAGCATTGGAGGGAAGCAGCATTGGAGGGAAGCAGCATTGGAGGGTAGCAGCATTGGAGGGAAGCAGCATTGGAGGGAAGCAGCATTGGAGTCGCTGCTTTGCACAGGAACAGGACCCAGAAGCAATTAGCAACTCGTATGAGGAAGGCCAACCCAGTTTTGCCGAGTCAAACTTGCGGGGTCAAATGTGAACTGTAAGACATGGGAACTTTTGAGACATGGGAACCGGCATCAGCGTCTCAATTGTGTACTGTAAGACATGGGAACCGGCATCAGCGTGATTGGCACTTCACTCTCACCGTGGTCGGAGCTTCCACTGCGCCTGCATTCGCCAACTTGGAGCTGGCAGGTGGTTTACAAGCCATGGCTTGGCCACTGGCTCTTGTGGATAGAGCATAGAAGCACTTCAGCCTCTCTTTATCCTACACGTCTGATCCCTCTATTCACACAGATGACTCATGGTTGACACAGCACACAACAAGAAGGACCAGATAATACCTGGGGCGATCCAGCTGCTACACAACAGAGGACCGGGCAGTACCTGGGGCGATCCACGTGCTACACAACAAAATGGACGGGATGGTACCTGGGCCAATCCAGTGGCGCAGGTCGCCGTTGGCGATGAACTCGTAGACGAGAATGTTCTCCACCCGCGTGTTCACATGGCCTCCCACTGCATACCCCAGCAGCCGCACCAGATTTGGATGGTGCTTCGTTGCCATCTGCGCCACCTGTGGTAGAGCATAGGAGAGAGGATAGGAAGGAAGGAAGAATTGACGCAAGTGCTTCGTTGCCATCTGCGCCACCTGTGGTTGTGCAAAAGAAGAGAGAGGGGGAGGAAGGAAGGAGGGAATGACAGTAGTGCATGTTGACTACAAACAAGTGCATGAGGACAGAGAGAGGCAAGCCTTTAGAGTCGACTCAAAGTCCAGCTGAGGCACTTGCATAAGATAATGAACAGAGAATAACCGAGACTGGTACAGACAGACTCGTGAGACACCTGAAGCTTCGTGACCATCTGATTTGTAAGCGCGAGGCCAAAAGATTGGAGAACAGCAAAGGGACTGACGTGGACAGAACCCAGGTAAATCGGTTTTCGATGCACACAGAAATGTTGTCATAAAAAAATTCACACACGTCTTGTGTGTCAACGCTTTCATCATTACATGTCATTCAAATATTCCCCAGTTTTATTCCTTTTTTGTTGGAGTAGCCTAACTTCTGCTCTGTACTGGCTATATATATTATTGATATTCTTTAGAGTTGGTTTCATCCTAGGTTTGACTCATGCGTGGTTTCCTACAAGAAACATGCCCTAGGTCCGGATGGGGTTTTGCCCCGACCTATTTTACACCCTTGTACCTTCACAAGCCTAGTACACTTTTCCTCTCATTGATTTTGGCTCCTAGCGTTCGTAACACACTTTCTCCTTCCCCTAACTCCTTGTGAAGTGAAGTTCCTGTTAGGGTGACCCACGGTTTTTGCCAAGGCAAACGGTCTGAGCCGTGGAAAGTCGAAAGAAGAGTTCATTAAGGCATGGCTGATCATGATACCTTCTTGGTGTATAGAGGTTTGACTTTTCTTAGAACACTCTGTTTCAGTATTTTCGTGCTTTCTACTTTTCTTTCAATCCTCCTTTCTTTCTTTGGCTTTCTTTCTTTCAGAAGTGTGGCACACACACAATATTGAAGAGAAGGACAAGAATATTCGACAGTAGACAGGCCGAAGAAATATATATCTACACACATATGTATACACACACATAAATATATACATTTATATGCATATATATTTACACGCACACACATATGTATATGTCACCATGCTTAAGATGGCAAAATCCCACAAAAACGTATCCCCTAGTCGCCCTTGCTTGTCTCAAGGCAGGAGATACCCCGTATGGTACACTTCTTCAAAGGGGTATAGTTTCAAGGCGCCCCACAAATAGTCGTGCCGAGGGTGGCCCACCTCTCTGTGGAAGCCAGCTGTGTTGGCTTGACGCACCTCTCTGTGGAAGCCAGCTGTGTTGGCTTGACGCACCTCTCTGTGGAAGTCAGCGGTGATGACTTTGGCGCGCTTCACGGCCCACAGCGTGGAGCCATCCTCGGGGCACACCCCGCGGTACACGTCTCCATATGACCCCGACCCCAGCAGGCACTCCTTGGACCAGTTGTTGGTTGCACGGGCCACCAGCGCCAGCGAGTACCGCCGACATGGTGTTGTGTTCCCTAACTGTGGGCTGGGGGAGTCTGTATGTGGGCAGCATGGCATGGTCGGTAAATGCCAGTGTTTTTTTTTTTTTTTTTTGTGAGAAGTAGTAACACAGCTGAGAACACAACTGTTTTGCAAGATACGTTAGAGAAATGATATGGAGTTGATATGGTGCTCATTGCTAAAATCTGATAGACTTGAGGTGGTTCTCACGCACCTGCCTGTGCTCCCATCCCATGACAAAAGGCAAACATGTAACATACCTACCTCTTGTGAAAATCTTGAAGCGGGTGGCAAGCCACCAAGCTGAGGCGAGCAGGAGAAGCAAGAGCAGAAGGGCTGCTATCACAATCCCAATGACAGCTCCCACAGACAGGCCGGATTGGGAGGAGGGAGCGGATGAGGTGGAGGAGGGCAAGGAGGAGGAGGAGGGATTGACGGGTTGATTGGGTGATGGGGATGGGGATGGTGGAGGGGAGGCCACGCTTGGTGATGGGGGTGGGGCTGCTGCAGAGGGACACATGCACAGGCACACCAGACTCACAAGCATTCAAACACCAGAACCACAAGTGTTGAAGCACCAGAATAACAAGTTGAGAAAATAGTGTTCCGGCTGTGCGCGCATGAGGCTGGAGTAGAATAAAAGGCACAACTTGGCGTTGGCTGGCATGACGTGGTGTTGGCTGGCATGGCGTGGCGTTGGCTGGCATGACGTGGCGTTGGCTGGCATGATGTGGCATTGACTGGCATGACGTGGCGTTGGCTGGCATGACGTGGCATTGGCTGGCATGACTTAGCATTGATTGGCAGGGAAATGGCATTGAGAGTGGCGTGACTTCGCATCTATTGGTGGAATGGCATTGGCTGGCATGGGTGGGTGGGACTTTACACTTGATCGGCGCGGTTTTACTTGGCAGAGCCTAGTTCTGACTGGCAACGCTCCAACCAGCTCACCTTCATCTATAGTACACGTGGCACAGAAGCTCATGCAGTCGTAGCAAAAGCACCCTTTGGGACGACTCATGCAGCCTTAACAGAAGCACCCTCTAGGGTCCACTCATGCAGTCGTAACAGAAGCACCCTTAACGGTTGACTCATGCAGTCGTAACAGAAGCACCCTTTAGGGTCGACTCATCGGAAGCACACTTTGGGTCGACTCATTCAGTCGTAGCAAAAGCACCCTTTGGGTCGGCTCAAAAACTGTAATGCCCCAAAACAAATGAAATGCTCACATTCATCACTTGTGCACGTGGCACAGAAGCCATGGCAGTCTTGACAGAAAGCACTGTAGTTCCTTTGCTGAACCACACAGCTGGAAGCATTTGGAGGGCAAGTGAGACCCGAACCTGATATTTCACTATTGGATGGAAGGAGATGGTGGATGGAGGGGGGTGAAACAGGGCGAGGGGGGTGAAACAGGGCGAGGGGGGTGAAACAGGGCGAGGGGGGTGAAACAGGGCGAGGGGGGTGAAACAGGGCGAGGGTTATCACACGCATCGAAGGGGAATGCCAAAGCATGATGAGAACACAGGAAAGGGATGGCAAATACAAGGATGTGTCTTATGCATGTGACATGCAGCCTGCAATAGGAAAGGAAAAGCAAGAGGACATGATGGTGAAAGCAAGAGGAGATGATGGTGAAAGCAAGAGGACATGATGGTGAAAGCAAGAGGACATGATGGTGAAAGCAAGAGGACAAGATGGTGAAAGCAAGAGGACATGTTGGTGAAAGCAAGAGGACATGATGGTGAAAGCAAGAGGACATGATGGTGAAAGCTAGAGGACATAATGGTGAAAGCTAGAGGACATGATGGTGAGAGCAAGAGGACATGATGGTCAGAGCACCCAGCACAGCAGGTCACTCACAGAAAGATGAGGCCTTCGGAGCCGCCAAGAGCAGCAGGTACCGGGCCTGAGAAATTGTTGTCACTGAGGTATCTGCAATGCAATAGACGCGCAACCAGACACCATCCAAGACAATGGAAGGAGCGGCACGAATGTGTTGAGCGGCATGTGCAGACGGTTGGATGCGGTGTGGAGGAGCAAAAACGACAGCAACCAAAACCTAATCCGGTAAAAAACACAATAGTGGCAATATGCTGAACTCTATTGGTGGCCAGCGCCCCATATCCCCAACAACAGCCCGGAGGTTGTTTCCAGGAGGGGCGGGGGGGAGAGGGGTTTGGGGAGACAGAAAAGCGTGGGAAGGATGTGGGTGGTGTGGACGGCACTGCATGTGGCTGTGCGTTATAGAGGGTGCACACATAACACAACCACATGGTACACACATAACACAAACACATGGTACATGTACAAGAGCACACATAACACAAACACATGGTACATGTACAAGAGCACACATAACACAAACACATGGTACATGTAGACAGCGCAGCAGACGAGAGGAGCAGCACAGAGCATCACACGCACAACCTCATTTGAAGGTAAGTTTCGTGCAAGATTGCAACGAACACATGGGTTGTTTGCAGCAGAGCAGCACAGGTCACACTGGCAATGCAACGGACAGTCCTGATGCAATGAATGCCGTGAGTGCATGTATGTATCACTCCACCCTCAGGCATAGGATGCAACTGGGGTACTGCTCAGTGCTCATGTCACTACCACAGAGCAGGTTGGCAATAGTCACTCTCTTTGCAATGCACTCACAGCCATCCAATGCTGGACATCTCTGTAATCCACAGAGGAAATGAGCCACTCAGGTTGTTGTGGCTGAGGAACCTGTGGAAGAGCCAAATGATTCAAATGAGCCAAATGATTTAAATGAGCCAAATAATTCAAATGAGCCAAATGATTTAAATGAGCCAAATAATTCAAATGAGCCAAATGATTCAAATGAGCCAAATGATTCAAATTAGCAAAATGATTCCAATGAGCCAAATGATTCAAATGAGCCAAATGATTCGAATGAGCCAAATGATTCAAATGAGCCAAATGAACCAAATGTGAATCGGCACATAGGTACATAGATCCATGTCCTCATGCATGAACCAAATGGATACTATGTCCTATAAGCACATAGATCCATGTCCCCATGCATGCATGCACCCATTCATCCACGTCCCATGCATGCATCCATGCGTCCATGTCCCCATGCACCCACGTGCCCCTGCTGCCTTGTGAATCGCGACGCACAGCTGAAACAAGCCAGAGAGGCGCGAGAGGCTGGTGGGGAGGGTGCCGGTCAAGTGGTTGTTGGAGAGATCCCTGCCAGCTCATGCAACGCAGTCAAAGACGGCACACACAGTAACAGACGGCACCCACAGTGACAGACGGCACACACAGTGACAGACGGCACCCACAGTGACAGACGGCATGGCACAGAGTGATGGCGCTTCTCCAGTGATAAGAAGGTACAACCGACAGACCTACACGGCATGGAGTGGAAGGCACACCGAGTTGGAATGGCATGTTGTGGGGGTGCGAGAGAGGGGAGGGAATGTAATCAAAACAAGGGTATGAGAGAGGGGAGGGAATGCAATCAAAACAACCCTGAGAGTCTGGTTCCCACCATGGCTGTAGGATGAAGACGATTGAAGGTGGGAATCCAGATTGGAGGAATCATTGAGCGATCTCACAATTTCCGAATATCCTTCATGTTGCCAATGCCCTCGGGGATGGTTCCCTCCAGCTGGTTGTCTGACAAGTCCCTGCAACACACTCGTCAGCGTTGTGAGACACATCATTGAGAGCTTGTTCACAGCCTTGTCCCTGCAACACACTCGTCTGCCCCGTCATTCACATCATCGATCATCGGCTGTTCGTTCCTACTGCACGAGTGGAGGGGAGGGGAGGTGGCGCCGTGCACAGCAGATACTCTCGTGAAACAAGAGCATGAGCAGAGGTGGGAAGGTGTTGGGAGCAAGCACGTGATGTTGCCCCTCTGGTCATGTATTGCTGCGAGAGGAGAAACGAAACAAAAGGAAGTGTATACTCTCTAGAAGTGTACTGCTGCCCCTCTCACCTCCCTGCATCAGCTGCAAGGGAAACCTGCAATGAGAGGGTGGCGTTGGAAATACTAATAGGCTGTTTTTGAGACAAAGCACAAACAAATAATCAAACCGAACCAGTTTTGTTTTGGGGCTCTTGAACTCGAACAAGTTCCACCTGGCAGGCACTGATTTGCCGTTCGAGGTTCGACCCTTATGGGTAGGTAGAACTGAGCCAGCTTGAACCGAACCAGAGCCGGTTCGGTTCAAATTGGTCCAGGTTCGGTGCGACCAGAACATTCTCTACAAAAAAACATAGCTACGATTGTGGCCCCAGCCTCAAAAAAACTTAGCTAGGCAGATACAGACACCTAAACTACCGTGGCAAAACGAAGAGAAGATACAGTAAGGGTTCGGATTGTTGCTCATGCCTTGAGACGTCTCATGTGAGAAATTTTTTCAACTCGCAGAAGTCTCAGGACCAACATATGTTGAGGGGGTTCGACAATGGTGGTACTGACAGGCTGCTGAGCTTGTTAAAATACATTGTGTAGCATGCCAACACATGTGACTGTACGCCAATTGTGGTGTACAGTTGGGTTGGGACTACACCCAACTTTGGGTGTAGTCTTGCACTTTGGGGTGCCAATCCACCCAATTGTGGTGGAGCCCCCAAATGCAACCCTCTTGACTTGTGGGTACCTCACTTCCCACAATTGAGGCTTCCCCAAGCCAAGTGGGCCTAGGGTTGCCTCACTTCTACAAAGTGTGGGCAACCCAACCCACTTGACCAATGGTTCCCTCACTTCCCAAAGTGAGGTCAACCCAACCTATGGTCACTTTGATCCTTCCCTTCCATTCTCCTCTTCCAACCTTCTCTTCCAAACTATGTATGCTAGGTTGTGACTCTAATTCAATCACTTGTTCAATCCACAATCTTCACATGGTATAGAGCTAGTTGTTCCTAAGCCTTTTTTTTCCCTCCCTTCAAGTCTTCTTTTTTTTTTCCATGGGCCCACCCCACAGCCACAAACCCCCTACGTGTGGCTCAACCTAGCATCCCCGTGGCACGACCTACGCCGTCGCCACTCTTCACTCCCCCCTTTTTTTTTCCCGCCGCCGCGCCTTCTCTGGCGCCGCCTGCGCATCCCGCCGCGACGCCTCATCGCCGCCTCCTCCTCCCCCTGCAGCGACCCCCCCGTCGCCGTCTCCCTCCCGCCGCCGCGCCTACTTCGGCTTCGCCCGCGCATCCCTCCGCCACGACACCCCTTCGTCGCCTGCCCCTCCCACTGCCACGAAGTCGCGTCGCCGCCCCCCCCCCCCCCCTACCGCCGCCGCGCCTTCCTCGGCGCCGCCTGCGCATCCCGCCGTCGCGACGCCTCGTCGCCGCCTCACCCCACCGCCGCCGCGCCTTCCTCGGCGCCGCCTGCGCATCCCGCTGTCACGACGCCTCGTCGCCGCCCCCCCCCCCCCCCCCCCCCTACCGCCGCCGCGCCTTCCTCGGCGCCGCCTGCGCATTCCGCCTTCGCGACGCCTCGTCGTCGCCTCCCCCTACCGCCGCCGCGCCTTCCTCGGCGCCGCCTGCGCATCCCGCCGCCGCGACGCCTCGTCGCCGCCTTCCCCTACCGCCGCCGCGCCTTCCTCGGCGCCGCCTGCGCCTCCCGCCGTCGCGACGCCCCGTCGTCGCCTCCCGTCCCGCCGCCGCGACTTTGCGTCGCCGCCTGCGCTCCCCATCGCCGCGACCCCCCCCCCCCCCCGTCGCCGCCTACGCATCCCGCCCCCGCGACCCGCTCGTCGCCGCCTACACGATCCGCCGCCGCGACTTCGCGTCGTCGCCTACGCATCCCACCGCCGCGACCTTCTCGTCGCCGCTTGCACGACCCGCCGCCGCGACTTCGCGTCGCCGCCTGCACATCTCGTCGCCGCAACCTTCTTCCCGCCGCGACCTAAAGTCACCGCCCGCGCGACCGTTTGCCGTGACCTGCTCGTCGCCGCCCGCATATCTCATCTCCGCGACCTAAAAATCGCCGCCCCTGCATCTTACCTCCGCGCCTTCCTCGTCGCCACCCCGCGCATCCCGCCACCGCGCCTTCCTCGTAGCAGCCGCCTCATCCCTCAGCAGCGGCATCACTGGCAGCAACAGCCCCGCCCACACCTACACCTGCGTTCTCCCTCCCACTCCCCCCCCGTTTTTCTCTTCCCCCCCCCTCCTCTCCTCCCACGCAGCAGCAGCCGGGACACCTCAGCAGCCACAGCAGCGGCAGCGGCTGCAGCAGCAGCAGCGGCAGCAGCGGCAGCAGCGGCAGCAGCCGCGGCAGCAGCGGCAGCAGCGCAGCAGCGGCAGCAGAGGCAGTGGCGGCACCAGCTGCATTCCTCCTCTCCCTCTCCCTCCTCTCCTCCCCCTCCGAAGCAGCAGCGGCAGCAGCGGCAGCGGCAGCAGCAGCAGCAGCGGCAGCAGCGGCAGCAGCGGCAGCAGCGGCGGCAGCAGCAGCAGCAACGCAGCAGCGGCAGCAGCGGCAGTGGCGGCACCAGCTGCATTCCTCCTCTCCCTCTCCCTCCTCTCCTCCCCCTCCGAAGCAGCAGCGGCAGCAGCGGCAGCGGCAGCAGCAGCAGCAGCGGCAGCAGCGGCAGCAGCGGCAGCAGCGGCAGCAGCGGCGGCAGCAGCAGCAGCAACGCAGCAGCGGCAGCAGCGGCAGTGGCGGCACCAGCTGCATTCCTCCTCTCCCTCCCCCTCCTCCCCTCCCCCCCCCCTCCCCCCTCCCTCCTCCCTCAGTAGCGGCAGCAGCGGCAGCAGCGGCAGCACCAGCAGCAGCGGCAGCAGCAGCAGCAGCAGCCGAAGCAGACCTCCACTCCCCGCAGCAGCACCCCCCCTCCCCCTTCCCCCCGCCCTCCTCCCTCTCGGCTGCCGCGCTCGTCCACCCGCCGTCGCCCTCCCCCTTAACCGCCGCGGGTCCACCCGCCGCCGTTCACCTCTAGGCCGCCGCGGGTCCACCCGCCGTCGCCCTTCATGGCTACCACTCCTCCCCCTCTCCCCCCTCCCATTGACGCCTCCTCCGTCGACAAGCTTCAACTTGCCGCGGACCGCTCGGCGATCAACTGGCATTCCTTCGTCGGGAGCATCCGCCGTGTTCTCCAAGATGCATTCGTCGGACCTTACTGCGTCATCGACATCCTCCTCCGCCGCCCGCAAGCCCTCCAGCCCACAGCACCCATTCACCCCGGCGAACCCCCTCCACCCCCCATTCCTCCTGGTCCTCCTCCCACTGAACCCACCTTGGAAATCGCCACTACCCCGACGCTCCAAGATGCCGCCGATGCCGCATTTCTCCACGATCGCCGCGAATACCTCATCCGCAAGGCGGAGTATGAAGTTGCGGTACACAACCACGACTTCGCGGTAGCGGAACGCGCCAATCGCCTGGCGCTCCTTGATGAGTACAATACGGCCATGGCGGACTACCTCCCTCGGAGCATCGCATGGGCCACTGCTGATAACCGCGCCTGCACCGTCCTCCTTGGCGCACTCCCTGGTACCCTTATGCGCCGTTTCCAAGCTCGCGAGATGCGCGCCTCCCTCATCTGGACCGAGCTCCAGGCGATGTTCGAGCGTCGCGACATCAGCTCTGTCGGCGCCCTGTTCCAAGAGTACTTCTCCATCACCCTCGCCACCTGTGATGGCGCAGTTGACTATGTGGGGCGCATGCAGGAGGTCGCTGATCGCCTTGCGGCACGCCAAGCTGCCCTCCCCGAGCCCCTGCAAATCCACCGCCTCCTCTACAACCTCACCCCGGACTACGAGTCCCGCCTCCATGCCTTCACTGAGGCCAACCCCATGGCCGGCCTCGATGACGTGGTCCAGTGGATCATTGACACGGAGGTCAAGCTACGTACCCCCGTTGTCAACCTTACCACCCCTCAGTCCTCCTCCTCCACCTCCCTCAACGCTACGCAGCCGCGCAACCAGGGTGGTCGCAGCGGCGGCGGCGGAGGCCGTGGAGCGGGTGGCGGTGGTGGTGGTGGAGGCCGTGGTGGTGGCGGTGGTGGTAGTGGTGGCCGTGGTGGCCGTGGTGCCGGTGGAGGTGGTGCTGGCAGCACCCCTGGTGGAGGACCTTCCGGTTCTGGTGGTGCTGTGACTCGAGGCGGACGCCCTGGCACTCTCCCCCCATGCACATATGTGCGCCGCCATGGTCCCCATGCTGGTACCCCTTGCGGCCAGACCAACCATCCTCCCACCACGTGCTTTAAGGCACTTGACGACGCCTGGTTTGATCGAGGCAACACTGGCACCCCTCCTCGCTGGAACTCGGTCTCACCTCGCCCCTCCTTAGTTGATATTCAAACCCTCCCCTCTTTCCTCCCTGCTCACCTCCGCATGGTTACCCCCTCCCCACCCTCCCAGCTGCAGCAGTTCCAGCAGCACCAGCAACAGCAACACCTGTACTTCCACCAGCAGCAGCAGCCGCAGTTTCTTCAGCCCCAGCAGCCGCCGCCGCCGCAGTTCTTCCAGCCACCGCCGCAGCAGCAGCAGCAGTTCCTTTCCCCACCCTGGCAGCAGCAGCCACTCACCTTCGGCACGGCGGCCATGGCCGCTCATACCTCCCTTCCTCCTCCTCCCCGCTGGGGTTCCCTCCCCTCCCCCCCCCCAAGTGTTCCCGACTCTTCTGGTAGTTTCCTCGGTAATATCAGTGTTGCACCGTCTGTCGCTGCCATGTATCCCTCTG